AAGCAATGCAGGAATGTGTGCAGCCGTCGTTCCGGTGCCAGCTGGCCAGCGTTGCCGCCGCCTTCTTGTGCGCGCTACAGAGCCTCCATGTGGCTTAGTTCGCAAAAGTTGCACTTAAAAGCACTTTGAAGGAAGCGGCGGTTTTTCCCGGATCCGGAGCTTAACCTGTGCGCCATTTTGCATTTTAGCAAAGTTCACAAGTACCTTTAGGTAGGGCTTAATTATAGACTCCCAGAGTAGTAAAAGTGGTCTTGCGTTAAATTAGAGGAAGGGCTATGGTTAGGGTTACAGCTGGGAGAGAGGGACAGGCAGCCCTCCTGGAATGTGACGCAAGGCTACCGGTAATACGCGGGGTACCTATACCCATGTCCAACACACCTGCAGTTATTGAGATTTAACGTAGATGGAAAAACATCACCGACAAACACAAAGGAGACTGGGATGACCGTTTCTGGCTTAGTAGTTGTCATCAGCCAGTCATACCCAACCTCTGGTGGTGCCTCATCCTAGACTTGAAACCGCGACCTGATTGTTCGAGGCATAATGCTCTAACATACTGAGCCACGGGCTCGCTGCCTTGAAATTCGGAAAGTTGTCATCCACTAGAAGAGAATTGCTGGAGTTTTTTCGTAGGTTATTTAATAACGTGAAGCCTGATCCCATGTTATTTCAGTCACTTCAGGATGCAGACATTGGAAGGAGTTTTCTTTCGGCTGCCTGCAAAGTAGCACTGTACAAAACGGCTACATAAGCGATATGCTTTCCTTCAGTGATTTTCAATGCCCATATATTTCCAAATATATTTTGTAGAAAACATGGATACCAAATGTTCTTTCTCATTTGGTAGCGAGTTAATTCTCCTTCAAACTTATACTTAAAGAAAGTGTATCTCGTAGTTTTAGAAACGTTTCTGACAATGAGATCAGTCAAAATCGTGAAATTTCCATATAAAAAATGTTGTAGCAGTCGAATTCACCAGTGTTGTTTATAAAGTATACATAGTTCACATCCATTCCAAATATTTATGAGTAGTATGCGGTGTCTCCCTCAGTACGCAGAGGACTGTGTGAATTTTTAGACCGAATGCATACATAATGACAGCTCGGGGTTAAAACTAATCGGGAATCGAAAACTTGTTGCTAAAACCAAAATGTCAGTCCCTTAAAGTTTAAAATAAGGAGGGGAAGAAGAAGGCGTAATATTCTTTTAAATAAACACAAGAAGCTATATGCTTATTCAGGTTTTCTGTAAAATAAAGTTGAATTTACAAGGGCTCAAAAAAGTAATGCGAAAAATGAATACTACTGAAGCAATTAGTTTTTACGAAATGTTATTTTTGCAGGCGGCTGGCAGGAAGTTTAATCAGCCTGGCGCGAATGAAAGCAAGCTGCCTGATTACGGCTACACTTCAGTAATTAGTTTCGAATTGATAAGACATTTCGGAGTTTCGACTGACATTTCATGAGATAAGCACTCTAGCGTGCCTAAGGCTTTAAGTCTGTAGTGAGACTTTCACCATACTTAACGGGGAAAGGCCCCACGGAGAGGTT